CCGGTATGGGCATAGCATGTCTATCTCTCTGGTCACCATCTGAATCGTCCGAATCACTGCTAACTACATCACCGATCATGTCCTCCTCCTCCTGCTCCTCCTCTTCCAGTTCAAACGCATTCACATCGAAATCATTGCTTATACAACCTACTTGACTTGAATGAAACTGATCCTATGTCAACTGACCGTCCAAATCCATGTTAGCCTGAAGCTGCTTCCTCTTCGACCCCCAATTCATGCTCATTGCATCCAACACCGTCAATGGACAACCCGTCCTGGACACTCTGCATCCTGTACCCATTCTCCACCACCACCTCAGTCATGGACACATTGGAATCTTGGAGCACCCTAGTGTAGTGGGACCAGTGAGCAGGGTCGCGCAAGGGCATGAGGACATAGTGTGCCCTAGTCTTCCCAGTATCAAACCTCCCCTTTAGTGTGAAATCACCGTCAAACTTTGCATTCAAACGAACACAAAGGTCGTTGAAGCTAGGAGGTTCATCAAACCATTCCAATTCTTCTTCCATATCCTCAAACATATAATCTTCTCTCCTAACACTTTCTCCATATAAAACCCTAACACAACAATCCATCTACAAAAGTATTTCAAGAAACTTCACCAATTCGTCGAAATCGTCGTACGTAATGTCCATAGTAATATTAATACCTATTCTAACTATAACTATACTAACTAATCTAATATTAGCATCTATACAAGGCTAACTACAACAACTAATGTATAACTAGACTCACTAGGGGCGTACCTCGCGGCGGCGGCGGCAGGTAGACACGGGATAGATAGAAGGGCATGCGGCAGTTGGGAGCGGTGTCTGCATGGCAGCAAAGGAGGGCGGCGGCGGCGGGAGGTGGGTGGCGGCTGCGGGCGCATGCGCACGCGGCATGGCGGCAGCGGCGTATGGCGGCGGCGGCGGTATGGGGCGGAAGCGGCGGCAGCGGCGGCAGGCGGGCGGCGGGTGCATCGCCGGGCGGCAGTACGGCGGGCAAAGGGTGGACGCGGCGGGCGGGACTGGGCCACGGGCCTTTTAGCCGGCTCTGCCGCGCCACCGATCAGCGAACCCGGTCTTCGCCACGTCATACTCCCGCCGCGCCACCATGCATGGCGCAGCACAGACGTTTCGCCGCGCCATGGCAATAGGCGCGGTCAAAAGTGTTAGTTTTAGAAGAAGAAAAAACAATGTTAGATTTAAAATTAGTTTAAAAAGGTGTTAAAAATAAAATAAAATTCCACTCGCTGGGGCCGGCCCGCGCGGAGACTAGATTCACGATCTCGGCCTCCACTGCCTCCTTGCCCACCCCAGAAATTCGCTACCGGCCTGTTGAAATTGTCGACCTCCCGGCCAAGCCGCTACAAGCAGGCCATGGCCCATGTCCCATCACTAGGCAAATTTTTTTTTTCCTGATGTGATCATATAATCAACGGTTTTTTGTGCTTTTTCTTCATTGTTATTTGATTGACAATTATCTTCTCCTTTTTAATTTCCTGGCATTTTTTTCATATTTTTGTTTCAGCCTTTATGATTTCTTTTTTTTAACATTTACTTATATTGTTACTTTTTTGTTTTGTATATACTTTTTTCTTCCTGCAATATTATTAAATTGTTCACACATATCATTCTAAGCGTTCTTTGGTATATTTTGATTTTTCTAGCAACAAGAAGTGATCATTCCAACAAAACAACTCTGTGATTTGAAATGTTGCATGCTTTTTTTCTGTCAAAATTCGTTGTTCTAACAATTCAACTATTCCTATATATTTTGAATTGTTTCTTGTTATATTTTGGATTGTTCTAGTAATGGAAATTCATTGTTCATACATGTAATATTTTGGAACAGTTGCTATATAATTTGAAATGTTGCATGTAATATTTTGGATTGGTCTACAATGAAAAGCATTGTTCTAAATAAAAAATATGTTGTTTGTCTATAATTTAAAATGTTCGATGCAATATGTTTCACTGTTCTAGTGATGAAAAATTATCATATTAATAAACAAATTCATACAATGTAAAGTTTTATTTCATAATTCTATAGGTCTATTATTTAAATATTGTTATTGCATAGTGTTATGAAATGAAATGTTTCCATTGGAGTTTTTCACTCAATTCCCAACACATGAAGATGGAATAAAGTACTCCCACTGTAGTTTCGCTCAATTTTCAATGCATTGAAAACGGTGTGCATTAAGTTTTATCTAGATGAAACTCGTATCCCCTCTCCCCTAACAATTCTTGTGCCATGTTATCATTTTTACTAATGTATGTAAGACATGGAAAGTACCAAAGTGAAACCATGACACACATTGCCGGTAAATTTATTGCGACCATAGGAATCACCAAGCCAACCAATTTCACGAATGGGACAAAGTCATAGACACCACTCAAAACCACACGACGCAACACATCCTGATTCCTGAATCACAACGTTCACGCACCTGCCACGGCGTAAACCACGACCACGGTGAGCCCCGAGCACAACCCACCACCCCACGGAGCGAATTCACCTTGTATATATATCCGGTCATAAGATTAATGAAAAATACAAGTTCTTCATCTTCTATTATTCCATTTATATTTCATACTTTAACACTGAGCATCCTTCTCGTCTGCTCACTATTAAACCAACAACGTAGCGAGTCGATGACATCCTTGTATGTTGACTATTACAACAACACCGTGATGAAATATTCAGTACAAACTACATCTTCGGCGCAATCATGAAAACCCTCTATGAATAGATATATAAGAGTTAAAAAAAAAACAAAGTACGTCTATTGATGAACATTGTAACAAAGTTTGAGATTCAAACTCCATCTAGAAAAATTCATACGAAAACAAAAAATTTCAATTTTCATACGCACCTGAAATTCCAGGAATTTGTAGATGGAGTTTGAATCTCAAATTTCGTGGCAATATTCATCAATAGATGCACTATAGATGTGCATAGTTTCAAGGTTTTAGGAAACTATTATTAGTTATTAAATATATTTTCAAAGAGTTTTTTCACGCGTTCTCGAAAAAAGAGGGTTTTCACGATTGCATGGAGGATATGTTTACGCCGAATATTTTGCCCAACAACGCCGACCCCCTGTAGCTACGTACCGTGTGATGCCAGGTAAGACAGCGTCGCCTTCAAAACGCGGCAGCGCCTGTGTCCAGCCCGCGCGCACGGAACCGCTGCACTCGCTCTCGCTGACTGTCTGGACGTTGCACACAACAGGGAGGCTGAGCGCGCTGGTCCGGTCAACGCCGAGCGCGGCGCAGAGGCACTGCGGCCTCGACCGTGCCACGGACCTGAGCTGCGAGCAGCACCGGCAGTGGCTTTAAATTTACAGCAAAAAAAAAATCATTTTCACCCATTTTTATTAAAATATTATGATTTTGGTTATAAATAGTGTAATTTTTTTTAAATTTCTTGAAACATATAATTATGTATGTTTTATTACATAAAAAAGACGATCATGTTTGTCCGATCCTCCTTAGTCAAAATCGCTGGCTCCGCCACTGAGTACCGGCCGAGCGCTGCCGTCGCCTCGTCGCCGCACATGTAGTCGACGCACGGCGACAGGCTCACCAGCGCCGACGTGCACTCGCCGGGGACGGATCGCGCGGACGCCGCCGCGACGAGCAGCGATGCCGCGGCCAAGAGCCAGAAGCGCGCTGCTGTTGCTCTCCCACGCGAGGCCATTTTTTCCTTTGAAGGTTGTCGTGCTGGTTCATCCGCTCCATGCCTTTATTCGGCGATCTTGGCGACTAGGGCTCCACTACCTCCTTGCCTGGCGTGTTGAAATTGGCCTACCTCCACCCGGCCAGGCCGCTACAAGCAGGCCAGGCCCATGTCCCATCACTAGGCAATCTTTTTCTTTCTTTTTCTGATCTGAATATCTGATCATATAGTCAACGTCTTTTGTGTTTTTTTCTTCATTGTCATTTGATTGACTATTATCTTCTCCTTTTAATTTCCTGGCATTTTTTTTTCATATTTTCGTTCAGCCTTTGTGATGATTCTTTTTAACATTTTTATATATATGTTACTGTTCCTACAATATAATTAAATTGTTCACACATATCGTTGTAAGTGTTCCTTAGTATATTTTGATTTTTCTAGCAACAAGAAACCATTATTCCAACAAAACAGCTCTTTAATTGAAATGTTCCTTGATTTTTATATTTTTTGTTGTCAGGATTCATTGTTCCAATATAACAATTAAACTATTCCTATATCTATATATTTCGAATTGTTTCTTATTATATTTTGGATTGTTCTAGCAATGGAAATTCATTGTTTAGTAACAATGAAACAGTTCCCCTATAATTTGAAATGTTACATGTAATATTTCGATTGAAAAGTATTGCTCTAAATAAAAAAAATCAATTGTCTGTCTATAATTTGAAATATGCCATGCAATATGTTGGATTGTTCTAGTAATGAAAGTTTATACTATTAATAAACAAATTCATACAATGCATAGTTTATTTCACAATTTTATAGGTTTATGCGTTTAAATATTGCATAGTGTTATGAAATAAAATGTTGCTATTGGAGTTTCACTTGGTTTCCAATGCGTGGAGATGAAACAAAACACTCTCAAGTCTCAATGGAGTTTCACTTAGTTTGCAATGCATTGGAAACGATTGCTAGGTTTCATCTAGATAAAACTGATATCACCTTCCTTCTAATAGTTCTGATGCCGAATTATCATTTTTGCTAACGTATCAACTCATTAAATAGAAATAAAGCTTTCGTCCGGACTGGCCTACCACGTTTTTAAGTAAGACATGGAGAGTTGAAAATTGAAACCATGAGTCCATGGCACACATTACTGGCAAATATTATTGCGAATGTGGGAATCACCGGATCAACCAATTTCACGAATGGGACAAAGTCATAGACACAGACACACCACTCAACATCCTCCCTGGCCGTTCTGAAAAACGAAAGCTGACACGACGCAACGCATCCTGATTCCTGAATCACAACGCTCACGCAGCTGCCACGGCGTAAACCGCAGCCGCGACGAGCCCGAGCACAAGACCCGCCGGCCCCCGGAGCGACGCACCACCAGATGGCAGGGAAGGCGTCGCCTTCGATCCGCCGCCCGACGACCCTGCACGCAAGCAAGCAACCGCAGAAGGAGTCAATTCATTGCAGCGAAAGCGAGGGAAAAAAAACAGAGTACTAATCAGCGTGGAATGTATCGAAGCCGAAACAAACAATTTCCCCGGACACGGTCACGGCAACCGCTTACCGTTGCACTGGCTGGCGGGCGGGGTCTGGACGTTGCAAGCCGCGGGGAGGCCGAGCGCGCGCGACCGGTCGATGGTGACGCCGCCGAGGGAGGTCGAGGCGCCGTCGCTGCCGAGGGCGGCGCACAGGCACTGCGGCTCGGACTGCACCACGCTCTTGAGCTGCGAGCAGCACGAGGCGCTGGGCGCCGACGTGCCATTGCCGCTGATGTAGTCCATGCACGGGGACAGGCTCACCAGCGCCGACGTGCAGTCGTCGCTGCTGCTGCCGCCGGACTGCGCGGACGCCGCCGCAACCAGCAGAGCGACCGTGGCCGCCGCGGCCAGGAGCCAGGACTGCGCCGCCATTTCAAACTTGCTTGGATTTGCTACTGTCTGACGTGGACCACCCTGGCTTGCCAAGAAGTTCCCGGAATGGATGTTCGTTGCTGGGTGATTTGTTAGTCTGTTGCCGCTGCTTTTTGCCGGTTTCGGGCTTTGGCCTGTGTGGGTTTTATAGGGGTGATCTGCGATGGAAAATGCACGAGTTGGTAGATGCTGGTGAGCTGCCGGTTCCTACTTCAACAGGAACTGATCCTGCCATCGCAACACGTAGAGGATTGAGTCGTTAAGGACTTTGTTTAAGAAGAGAATGGCTGCGAATTGGATTCGGTGTTCAGACTGAAATCAGACGCGGATCATTGGCGTGTTAGATAAGGCCAGCAACGGTACAAGTATGTTTATGAGTTTCGTTGCTTGTCATAATGTAATATACTATTTGGGTTAGGAAGTTGCTTGTGTGATTGTGTCAATCTGGCAATTAGCAGCTGGCCAACATAAAAAAGTACGATCTTGTTTTCCACAGAACAAGAAAATGGTGCCCCACAGTGATGTCACGCACGGTATTCTACTGCAGCCTGGAGACCGTAGACCGTGGACCTTGGAAGTTGGAAGTCGGAACTGGCATGCAATTTTTCATCAATTCTTTTATTTTTTGAAAAAATTATGCATATCAGAACGGGTACGCACACAAGTGCAGGCTCTATTTACAAATTTGTGTTATTGTGTCAGGAACCGTAAACAAGACTATCGACAGACAATTGCAGATTTGCCCTGCAGTGCGCTACATGTTCTGAAACGAAGGCTAACAGTGACGTCGATTACAAATTATATACTTCTTATACAAAGGCAAGATCTGCGCTGTAGTTAATAAGAAAACCGCCAAAAATGAATCTACAGCTTGTTCTTTCTTTGCAGGGGCAACCTGTACTTTATCTTTCTACAGAGGCCTTAAGAGCGGGTAATCTTCAAGGAGCTCTCGCTCTGACAACGTGTCATTCTCATTTTGTGGAGTCCATAGGACCTCGACAGCCTGTAAAGATGATTAACGAAGCATCGGCATCACTATAGTAGCATATGAATATGAACAAAGTGCAGACAACCTATAAGAAAATAGGCTAGCAAGATGTTGGTTCGTTTGTTCTTCTTCTTTCCCTTTTTTTATTCTTATTTTTATTTTCCCTTTATTTTTTTAGAGTGAATTCGTGAGGCTCTTGTTGGTTTCATCTCTAAGTTACTACATCTTACTTGGACTAAATGCTTTGTAATCTAGCAAGATGTTACTGTCTTCGCCCCAAAGAAAATCTACCAAGATGTTGCTTATTAAATGTCACTACAACACAACATTGATTTGCTGCAATATTAAATTTGCTGACTAGATCTGACAGCCTCATACAACAGAAATGGACTACATAACTGTTTTTGGACCAGGCTGGATCAAAATTTGGAGTGACCATTTTACAAAACTGTGGATGTTGGTGACAACCAGGTTACTGTCAGTTAACATTATTTTACCCCAATACAATCAGCCCCCCTTTGGAACAAAGGAAAAATGGAAGAATTCTAGAAGGAAATTTTCCTTCCCTTTGGAACAAAGGCCTATGGAATGGCTTGCTTCATAGGAATTTTGGAGGAATTTTATCAAGAGGTTGAATCTCATGAAAAGTTTCCTTTGTGCCACTCATCAAAATCCTGTGTTTTTGCTACGCTCCAACCAAACGTTCAATCTTGCAGTTTCATGTGGTTTCTCAATCCATAGGATTCAAAATAGTAGGGCATTCTATTCCTATGTTTTCCCAATTATGGTGTTTTAGAATCCTGCGTTCCAAAGAGGCCCTCAACATGTAATGACCCCTGAGTAGGAATGGTAGGACTAGAATTTAAACTTGATGACATAACAAGAGCAATAAGAAACAAGCAAGAAATACCAGTATTTTGCTTGATGGTATGGCACCCATCTTTTGTAGAGCTGTCTTTAAGTCATTGCTGCTATTTATAACCGGCAGCTTATGTACTCCCTCAGCAGCAACCAATATGGTTATCTGCAAATATGAAATAAAAAAAGCTTAGATATCATGTGGTCACTGCTGTGCTGAGTGATACTAGAACAGGTAATCAGAAATATTCAATCACACAAACCTACACAGTATACATGATGGAAATCATACCCCCACCCCACAAACTGGAATATGAGTTTGTAAGGCAGTTTTTTTTTTAAGACAAAAATCTTAATTCTTGAATCACAAATGGCATCTGAACCTCTCAGCAAAAAGATACTCATTGCATGCACATAAGATACTATTTGACAAGCCTGGTGTCATCTGTTACGTACCACAATGTACTCGTTGCTAAAACCACTTGATCTTTGGCTGCCTCCTTTATTCCTCTTGATGCTGTTCACATTGACAAGTGTCTCTTCATCAAACTTGCCTCTCTCCTCAATTGAAAGCTGATTGAAACGTTTCTCACCATCATCCATGCTTCGTTTCACATCCACCTTTTTAGAGCAATATAAACGTGATTAATAGGCATTGAAGTGAGAAATTTACTGAATTCCAAACCTTTATGACCCTACCACTAAAGACATGATAAGGCACTCATGCATGAAGTATTGATATGACTTACAACCTAAAAAGGAGTTTATGATCATTTCATCACTGATGAAGTGGGAATGTAAATGAAACGGTTGTTTTGCATTTTTATAGGAGTTGTGCATAACATGACATTGCAGGACAAGTCCTAAAGATACATTTAGATGGAAACAAGAAACAAACTGCAATCTGCTAAATAAGCTAAAGAATACAAATTAAAGCAAAAGATGGGCTTACCGATGAGTAAGCTGAGATACAACAATCCGGATGCCGAAGTAATGCCAATGTTGTCTCTATAGAACAGCATCACAACAACTAAACAATCAGCATGAATTCAAGGCAATAGCAGAATGGTCATAAGCCTTACAGAAATAATAAATCTATATATAGTTTATTTCCAAGGAAATAATGATGCATATGTAATTACAATTTAAAGCAATATTAGAACTATAATCAAGAAGGGCGGGCCTGGTGCAAGCGGTAGAGTCTTACCGCCTGTGACCGGAAGGTCCCGGGTTCGAGTCGCGGTCTCCTCGCATTGCACAGGCAAGGGTAAGGCTTGCCACTAACACCCTTCCCCAGACCCCGCACAGAGCGGGAGCTCTTTGCACTGGGTACGCCCTTTTTTATTAGAACTATAATCAAGATTATTGATTTTGTATCAGATAACATGCATTCTAGCCTAAAATAGAGATCGTAAAAACAAAGAAGCAGCACCGTGATGGACTACACAGATAGAAATTGTGTCCAGCAAAGTATGAAAGCGATCCTTACCACCAATAAGGGCGAACAAGGCCCAATGAAAAATGAAAGGAACCAAAACATATCAGAACAGAAGGCTAACATTAGGTACATTACTTCAACTAAAAGCAACACACCCCAATGAGACCCAATCCAGCCAATGTTTATTCTTGATGGTTATCCTCAACAGCCACAGTGTTCCAAGTTCAGTTTTGACCTTTTTTGCTCTGATGTGGTGTGTGACGCATACTAGTTCATGGCGATTGGTGATATAAATAGCTTTGAGCCTGTTTGGCAAGCTGGCTGCGGCTGCAGCTGTAGCATCCAACCAGCAGAGGCAGCAGCAAGCAAGCAGCAGCAGCAGGAAGCCAGTGGCGGCAGCGGCTTAAATGTGAAGCGTTACAGGCCCATGCCAGCTACATCACCACAACCCCGAAGCAGTAAAATCAAGTAGCATGTATGTTTTTGTTTTACCTGTCAACACATAGCTCAACCCAGCAGGGGTAGCTGTATCTGCTTTCTCAGCTATTTGATCAAGCTCCTTCTGAAATGATCGTGCCATGCCCAACAAGCCAACCTACCAACAATGTTAACTTATTAGAATATTTTAAGTGGATGCCTATACCTTGTTACTTAAATTGGATACGTACTACTAATAACGAAATTAATAGGAGTAAGCATGTCTTATTTTTGTACATCTAGGTACATTGTGTAAATATCATGATTTGAAAAGCCAATAATACCAAGCACTAATTACTACTTAATTAAGCTTAAATATATAAATATACTCCTACATGCTAAAATATACACGCGACAAATGAGCTATTCACATCCAAACAGTCACTGATATGGATTCTAGGCAACATATCCGGTGTACTAACCACAAGGTCAGGCTCAGTTGCAATGCTATTTAAGCAAAGGCTTAAACCAATCATGTTGAAATGGTGCGGCAAATCAGGAAGTATGCCACAAGAAAAAATAGCCAATGTAAAACAGTTTACATATGTACTACTCCTATTTTCGGCTAACCAATGAAGTGGTTATGGCAAGTGACCCGTGCAAATGTGAATGTATCCACCAAAGCAACAGCCAAAACCTACCTGTAGCTTGAGGACGGTGGTCTTCTCCGTCTCTGTGAGCACACTGGCACCGCCGGACGAGTCGGACAGGAACCCGGCGAGGTAGAGGAAAGCCGCAAAGCCAATGAGGGTGAAGAGGAACCCCGATCCCCCGAAGCCGATGCCGATGGCCGGGCCGACGGACACGAAGGGCGAAGGCGAGTAGAAGGGCGCGGCCCTGTACCCGCCGCCCCTGGGCGCCGGCGCGCTGTACCCGTAGGACGGAGACGACGAGGAGGAGCGCGAGGAGAAGGCGGACCCGCCAACGCGGCCGCCCGAGGCGGCCAGCGCCGCGGCGTGCGGCCCACCCGCCGACGCGGCGAGCAGCGCGCCGGCCAGCAGGAGCGCGAGCGCGGGCCGCCTGAGCGCCGCGAGGGCGTCGAGCACGGACCTCCTGAGCGCGTCGAGGACCAGGAGCGCGCCTGGCCTCCCCGCCGGCGGCTCCTGCGCGTCGAGATGAGCAGCGGGGCGGTGGAGGTGGGCGCGCAGAGCGGAGACGCGCGGCGGGGTCCTGAGGAGGAGGTGCGGGGGGTGGAGGCCGCGGCGGGACGGGAGAGGGAGCGAGCGCGGGGTGGAGAGGAGGCGAGTGGCCTCGAGGAGGGAGGCGGCGGCCATGATGATGGCGCCGCGGGCCGCGGGAGTGGAAATGGAATGTGATGCGGAGGCGGAGGCGGAGGAGGAGAGGGCGGTGGACGGCGGTGCTGGGAGCGGGAGGGATTTTTTTGAGAAGTGTGTGGGGGAGGAGGATCAGGTTGTGAGGCTCCGGGCTCGGGATGCCGGGATCGGGTGACGTGGCCGACGACGACCAAGTTCCAAGTTCGCATAGGAACTCCCGCGCTTCCGATCCGGCCGACGATAGACCGTACGTAAGCATGCTGTCACGACTCACGTGTCATGCTGTTCAATAGCAAATAAAGGTTATCGAAGCCGGGGCTGGCAAGCTTTACTGCTCCGTTGATCATCGAGCGACTGAGGGCCTGTTTGGTTTAAAATTTATGTCACATCGAATATTTAACATATATATAGAGTATTAAATATAGACTAAGGGACTTGCTATATCCCAGTCGACTGAAATATACACTTTTTTCAGTCGACGTCCACAGTCCTTGGATCTGCATCCAATGGCTCGTCTCTGTTGTTTTTCTTCTTCATGCAAGGAAAACAGGTCCGCGAATGAACCCGAAAATCAACCTAGGCAACTACCGGGCCCGCCAAGCCTTAACGGGCACATGATCCGATACCTGCAATGGAGATTTGCAGCTCATTTGGCCCAAAATGAAACAATCGGCCCAATAAACATACATACAAGCATACACTGAATATTCTTGGGCCATACCACAAATCAAAATTAATATAGTACCATTTCTATTCTACTGCTGCAAAATGCACAACGAATAGAATATTCAAAATTACAAAACAAGAATATGAAAATTGCACTTTCCAAATAGTGCAAATACTATGTGTTGTTACTGCAATTTTACTATATATGTATATAAGTAAAAGTATTGGTATATTTATATAAAATCCAGCTCATAAACGAGGAGTCTGCTGATAGTACAATTCAAGTGTACTATTTTCTATGCAATTATCTACAGTTGACTAAAAATTATCACAGGATGCAAATGCATGTTGGGAGGCAAAATCTTTGATATCCTTGAACAAGTCTGTAGCCATACAAGCAGTTAGTAGTCATTAGTCAAAAACATGTACACATGTACTGGTCAATAAATAGAAGCAACAGCTAAAGCCTGGTAAAGATGAAGGACCTGTTTGGCAGGGCTCCTGCGGCTCCGGCTCCCGCCCCTGTCGGCCGCCCACGGGCCGATAGGTGCCAGGCGGAGCCGGAGCCCCGGAGCCCGAAAAACGAGCTCCACCGGCTCCGCCTGGGTTTGTGAGAGGAGTAAAGAGGAGAGAGAAAAACGGCTCCGGCTCCATGTGGGCCTGTGGGCGACCGACAGGGGCGGGAGGCGGGAGCCAGAGCCCGTAGGAGCTCTGCCAAACAGGTCCGAAACGAGCATACAAAGAAGCTAAATTTCCAGTTCAGCTCGGCATACTTGACCAATGAACCAATTAAGCAAAGCCATCATTCAATTAATAAGTCAATTTAGATTTTCCTATTCTAGATTCCCACAATGTGTGAACTAGTTTGATAGATCGAGATAGCATCACACCGCTTTTGGTAGTACAATTCAGTTCATGTGATGAGTGGCCAAACGAGCACTTTGGTTAACAAGTAAATAGCAGCGATGCCTAGAGAGCACTATCGGAACCAACGGCATTCTTCTCGCCAAGGCAAAAAAGAATTTAAGCGCATGGAACTCAACACAAATAAACCAAGATGCAACCAGATTATCGAACATGCATGTCAAAGTCGAGCTCCCCACAAGCGCAAGTCACGCAACCCGCCCAGATTCGAGAGTTCAACCTGGATGTACAAAATGCCATCAGTCCAGCTCCGACATTATGGGGCTGTTTGGATGCCGCCCTCTTTGGGCGTGCTGCGCCAGTAATCGATCTCAAAATTTCAGCGATCAAAATCGAACGCTGGGAACATCGTTGGCGCCGAGTCGCTCGGGAGGCAACATCCAAACAGCCCGTATCCGCATAGGATCATTTTCTTCTCGACTCTTTGGTCCGAGCTAGTGAGCTAATGCCATTGCAAGGAAGAGTGTCTGTTGGCAACCCTCGCAGGATCAGATTCCATATAAGACTAAGAATGAACTAGCATCATGCTAATGTGGGATGGTACATGATAGGACTCCTAAATTTCTTGTTTGGTCTGAGGACTTGGATGTGTTGATCCATCACTACTTCTTCCTCATAAGCACTTATAGTATAAACGTGAAGGACCGAGTCATCCCACAAAAATTCTCATGATGGATCATTTCATCTAGGCCAACTCCTCAAACCAAACACAACTTTAGAGAATACAGAGTACACAAGAGTTTGTGAGAATGTCAGTAAAAACATTTTTGATATGAATAGTCTCGCAATAAAATGATTACCCCATATTTTTGCATTCCAAGGAGGAGAAGTGTGCTTGAGCCAGTGATGTGAACCCCCACCCACAAAGGTATGTGGAACAAGAGGTTGAAAGCAAAAGCTGTTCCAATAACTAAAAAATGGTAACATTTGTAAGAAGCAAACGGTCAAATGAATGTGAAAACCAATTGAGTTCTATATATTGGCAAAAACAATTGTTGATTAATTTTCATTCCTTAGTTTTACAGGAATAAACAGTGGACCAAATGAATTGGAAATTAGCAAGAAGAACAAATCAGTCAGTTTAGCTTTGGCATTAAGAATTAGTCTACAACAACACTGAATCCTCTTTTATTGTATCCATATATGTTCATTAATATAATACACGATCAGCCGAAAATCAAACATAGCAGTTTAACAATATTTTTTTATGCAAGATTATCAAGAAATGATCTTAACCTTCTGGGATATCTGCAGCAATCACAGCTAACTCTGCTAGCAGCCATAGGCAGATTCTCACCCATGCTGGATATTCCGTCTTGCATAGCTCGGCAAGATGCCGCCCTGAGTCAGTGAACAGCCATCAATTCCAATTGACGTGAGAGAGTGTACTCCTAAGCATAATATATACTAGTTCTCTATAAAATACATGTCACTACTCCAAGATTAGCAGATAGTGACTGAATAATTAACGCGAAGATGAGGCCAATCAAGGTCACCCAGAGAAGCTATAAATGAGCAAATTAAAAAAATGACAAAAAGAAGCAAAGTGGTTAGTTTTGGTTTGCATTATGCAAGAAATGTTGCTTGCAAGGGTGAATATGGCGTGATTTAACAAAGATATGAAAGTGTACCTCATATATGTGATTTGCACCAGCTTGCAAATCTGTTCCCACTGTTCAAATTTAACAAGCATCAATACTGTGCGATATAGAGAACAGAGAAAGAGGAAGAAATGGTGCACAGCGTACAGTTTCCGGGATCAAGGTAGGCCAAACAGACCATAAATCCTGGGCCAACGTGGTACAAGAACCTTTTCCATGATGTGCCCTGTGTTACACAACACCATGGAATTAGCAAGTATATTTATCCCCCAGTAATCAAAAGCATGAGGCACACAAAAGGACAAAGGGTAGTACATTTTTTATCTAACCCATATGAGAGCTATGTATCATTTCACTAGAAGAACAAAAGAAGAACAGAACACACACACAAAAATGAAATGTTTAAGATTATCAACGCCTCTGTTGTCATACGAAGATCATGTAACCAGTGCAGAAAGAATACAAATTGAGATTTTGTTCTTTTTAGTTTTGCAACGCAAGGAAGTCGAGTCGAGTCACACCAAAGAGGCAAGAACTTCGACTGAAACAGGAACAGATATTTGTATAACAAACATGATAAAAAAACATTATGTGGTACTATTTGTCTCTCCTTGAAATGCAAGTTACTATACCTGATTAAATTTAGTGAGTTGATCCACGGCGTCATTACCAACCAATGCTTCTCCAACAAATAAAACCAGGTCCGGGCTATCGTGATTGATTAGCTTGGCGAGCACTCTCATGAGTGGCTCATTGTCCTGACAAATTCAATTAGACAGAGACTTCACGTAAACTTCAAAATATAAAGACTATATTCTCCTGTATAGAGACAAAAAGAAGTTACCCTCTAGTACAGAGACCAAATCCCAGCATGATGACTAAGAATCCTGAAAGGAGAGCAACACTTCCAAGTTGATCCTGCAGAGCAAGCAATATGGTCTTAAAAAATTACAAAACACAAATATGAAAATTACAATGTTCGATACTTGCAATTTACATTATTGGTGACTGCAATTTCACAAACCAAACTGTCAGACAACAAATACAGAGGACTAGCTCTACTGAGGTAATAACATTCAAATATCGTAGCCGCTTAAATGAGTTACTAAAACTGTGCAAGCTGATTCATCATAATAATGAAATGTCTTGAAAGCTCAATGCAAGGACAAGTTATGGATGAACTTATATTTGTGATGGAAGGAAATATTAAAATCCACCACAATAGCAAAGCCAGCTTCAATAAACAAGTGTATTCAGGTTTTCATTCTTACTGCAAAGATAATCAACATGCTGAAATGCCATAACGCTGATCCAGAGCTCACTTAGCCAGCTTGGTGGCACATAAATCAGATCCAAATTTTGACAAATCACATAATTTCAACGGATACAGGGATGATAGCTTTTGGCAATAATAAAATCACATAATAAAGACACAATTTTTATTCTACGCAGGCACAAGCACAAATACAACATTACAAGAGATAATTTTTTTTCTAGGAAGGACAATTTACAAAAAAAAATTCCCATAACCAAGACAAATCACAGATTACAAGAGAAAAGAATTTTCTATGGAAGGACAATTTACAAAATCTTTTCTCAATACTAGCACAATCACATATTACAAAAGACAATTATTTTCTATAGAAGGACAATTTACAAAAGTTTTTCCCAAAACCAGCACAATCACAGATTACAAGAGATAGGAGGCCGGAGAAGCGGGTAGGTTGAAGGATCAGTTGAGAGAATAATTAGACGCTAAGAACAAGAACTGGAAGTAAACATGGTGCGACACTATAAGCCAGAGAAGCG